CCACAAACGAAACAAAACTTGTTTAATTTATTGCAAAGCTTTTTAATTTTTTTCACCTTAAGGAGTTTCCGAAGGCAATGATATGGTGAATAAAAGTTTTTCGCAAAATTTTCGATGTTTTTTATCAATTAATATGACAGTAATCGCGCGGGTAGATTTTCGGTTTGTGTTTTTTGGTTCCCAACTTATGTGAAATAGACGCGGTATAGACCGCCGCCTATTTGAAAGCATTACTCAACCACTTTGACTTTAACAAACAACAGCTTTCACAGTACAAAAAAGGTATTAAAAAGTCATTCGTACAACAGAAACTGCCAAAATATGCCAGAGTGGGATTGAAAAGAACCCTAATTCAGGTCCAAGCTGTGTATAAACTACTATTATAAAAAAATATTGCGAAATAAAATATGAGTTGTAACGCAAAACCACATATCTGAACAATCAGTTGTATGGGAGCTATATGTTATAGTCATATATGTAATACTTCTATATTGCTAGTACATTCAAAGTACATTCCCCAATATCAGAGTGCCCAAATATTGAAAAGAGAAAGAGAGATCCGATAAGAGAATGTACAATTTTACTTTTCAAACTTCAGGAGCGCTTTCACAAATTATTATTTAAAAACAACTCTTATGAAAAATTAATAATAAATAAAATTTTTGTAAATCTATGAGGTGGTATGAGGTGAGGTGGTGGCAGAGGATATAAATACCAGTTAGAGAAGGACTTGGCATCAGTTGGCATTTCCAATTGGCTTCAATCAGCATAGAAGGGAATCGAATAACGTGCTTTATTGGATTCGGCCAACATATAAAATACCACACCGCTTTATGTGTAAATAAGTTTTGTCTTATTTGGAAAAGATCTTCTATCTTCCAATTTTTCACATTTCCAAATAACGAGGAGCATCGGAGAAATTCGTCATACCGAGCCCTAACCTTTAAAATAATGTATATATATTTTTTTTTATTTACTTTTTGATGCAGGTGCTCTAAGAGGCATTTATGCATCAAAATTAAATTTTGAAAAAAGTTGTCTTACTTCATTTTCGCGGCTAGGGCTCGATATACATTTCAGCGTGAAGGAAACATGAGACCGTCAAATTTGTGTTTGTTTGTTGAATTCCCTGTTATGATATGGCACTTCATTCTATGTAGTAGTTTACAAATATACACGTATCTTCTACAATCACAAATATTTTCATAGGCTGTCTTTCTTTGATTTAGAATGGAAAACTCACAGCGATCATATTGTACTAGCAATATAGAAGTATTACATATATGGTTATAGTGAACCGATTTCCATGATTTTCAGAAATAGCTAAGGTAATATCAAAATACAGTCACGTGCAAAATTTTAGTAAAATAACCTTAAAACAGCGGTAATTATTAACAAAAAACCTAAAATTTAAGCAGATTTTCTGGCACCGTTATCTCGAAAACTAGC